ATGATAAAACAAGCTTGGGTGATGCAAAGCGCCTATCAGTCTGTTGAGAGACGCAACAATTAAATAAAAATAAGCTAGAAACAATTTCTATCTGGTCTGTAAAAATAGGAGCCCCTGCACATCCATTTCTCAGCGGAGGCTTCGCTGAGCAATCGCGGTGGTTATGCATCAGCTCGCTGCAGAAAGGAAAGCTGACGTGAGCACCTCCAGTGCGCCGGGAGCCAGCTACGGGGAGCGCAACCAGTTTGTGATTGTTTCCGGCTTGCAATAATTTCCCATCCCGTATTTCCAGCTTTTTGCATGGTTCTGCTCATGAGAAACCAAACAGGGTTGTTACGATGCCCCAGACCCCTCCCTGCCAGGGCTGGACGGACCTGCCTTCAGCCCTGAAATGCAGGAGTGGCTTCGCACAGTTTTTTTGGGTCATTATTAAAGAGCGAAGGCAAAAGGAAGGGGTTTGCTAGGACGCCGGTTGCTTGGGGAGAAAAAAGAAGTCTGAGCAAGGTGATGCTGTGGAAGGACATCCAGTCCCCACGCTCAGCTTGCTCATCTGCCCCCCAGGGCCACTACATCTTCCCCGGGCAAGGATGGTGTCTCTCCTGCCCTTCTTCTCCCTGCTATCACTGCCGGGGCAAACACACCCTAAAAAATTAATTAAATCTGTTTCCCTGGAGAGGGGCCAGCCCCTTGGCAGCCACGGCCCCGCTCGGCAGCCACGGCCCCGCAGCCGCTGCCAAAAAACCTGCAGGTTTAACTGAGCGCCGAGATATCACCCACAGCAACATCTTTTGCAAGAAACGAAAGAAAAGATTATATCATCTCTTTGGAGGGCTGCCTAAACACATGCTGTGATTTACAGCACGTAGCCCAGGAGCACACGGGAACTGCTGCCCAGGTGCCACAGGAGCTGCTTCTCCTCTGCGTGTGCCACAGGATGGATCCTGAGAGGTGCCGGCCAAGGGCAACCCCATTAAAACCAGTTTATAACACATTCAGCTCTCATTTGATCTTAAAATAGAGGTAGCAAATTCAAGATAAGGACGGCCACAGAGGGGTGGAAAATCGAGGGAAAAAACCAAAGGATTCCTGTTAGAAACCAGTGTTTGATTTGTTTTGCTTTATAAGAGAAGGGATCCAGTTCCCAGAGGTTTGAGAGGAGCTGGATAAACACACGCGGCAGATTTATCTAGTGCTCCAGCTCCTAAGAGAGTATTTCAAGCAGATGCAAGTACCCACTGCTCTGCCTGGCATGGCACCCGGCAAGGAAGGGGGCAGGAGAAAAAGTCCCTTTTTCGCAGCAAAGGTGGAGGAACATGCAGATGCAGACACCACGCGAGTGGAGGAGGTGAACCACCATGAACCCCAAGCAAAGCGCCATGGAGCAAACATAACCCAGTGTGGTGCAGACCATGCTCACCGTCCAGGTGGTTGCGGGAAAGGTACTTGAGTCCTTCGTCCAGCAAGATAACGGGCAGGGAGATTTTCATTACAACCACCCACTGCGGCCAGCTCAGGGGGGTTACCTGGAAGATGAGCTGCAAGGTGGAAAGGATTGGACATGTCAATAGGGAAGGAGGTGGGATTTTTTTGTTTGTTTTAAAGGTCAGGTTGTTGTATGGCACAGGTTGAGCAAGGGTCATCCCAGGTACAAGGAGGGAGGATCCAGACAGCCCAAAGAACAGGATTTCTTCAAGGTCTGTCATGATCCCAAGGTGGCTCTTGGCCAAGATCAGTCAAAAACAATGACGTCCTTCATCTCTCCTGCAGATGAGGAAAGCGAGGCACAAGCTAGGATTGTATGTGCTCACAGGTGCTTAGCAGGGTACAACGGACAATGTAACCTCCTGGGCACAGTGACCTGCTTCATCTTAAGCGCCCTTAGGCATCAACCGAGGCATCACCAGCCTTGGACTGCAAAGGGAGGCGATGCCTCCAAAAGGAGCTGAGATATCCATAGCCCTTTGCATTGCCTATAAGGAGAGCTTCTGACTTTAGTAAAGGCTCATTGGGGCAGGGTGTCTCCTGGTCCCCATGTTTGTTCAAGTTACAGGACCTGGTCCTGAGGGCACACGCTGGGGACAACCGTCCCAGAAGCTCCAGGGATGTCCTCGCCCACAGGAGGAGCCCCCTGGGCTGCACGCGGAGGTGGCACAGGGCACTCACAGGCATAGGCTTGACGTAGAGGATGAGGAAGTGCAGAGCCATGGACATGACAATGGCCCCCAGCAGCCAGATGTTGAGCCATGGTGGCATCCGCAGCAGCGACTGGTTCTCAGAGACACTGCAAAAGCGAGGGGACAGTATTAGCCCCAATAACCTCCTGCTCCCCACGCCTGTCCAAGCTGGGGGTTCCCACTCCTCTCCAAGGCTGTATGCTATAGCCCCTCTCTTTCAGACTGTTCAGCTTCAGGCTCTGCCGCAATTTGGATCTGGATACCCATCTCAACGCAACCAGCCATGCATGGATTAGGACAGGTCATTAACAGGGCCAAACCGCTAACGGATGCAGATCCAGTGCTTCCTCCACCGCTACTGACAGCAGCACACTGGCTTGGAGGACTTTATTTAAAGTGAGCCCAGTAGTCCTCTGTGAGAACACTCCGAATGGCTCTGCTGAGTCAAAGCAAAGCCCTCAGCCCACCAACGGACGCTCAGAGAGATCCTACCCAAAATCAGTTACGCATAGAGCATACAGAGCAATCCTGTGGCCACCCTACCTGTTTAGAGCGTTGCACATTTCGATTGTCACCAGCACAGACAGAGCCATTGTGGTCGGGTATCGGGACTCAAAGATCTCGCAGTCGATTCCTTCAAAGATGGGGTTGTCCTTGGTGCACCTCATGAAGTTCCTCTGTCGGCACAGGAAACCACTGGTAAATACACGGCAGAGCAGCAGTGTAGGAAAGGCAGGCAAGAGGAGGAAGAGGTCGACTGGTTGGGGGGGCACATGGTGAATCCTGATTATTAGGGGTGCTGTTAAATATCCCACAGTTCAGAGTAACTGATAAAACACAGCTTCTGCTGTGGTTGGGGCTTTGGGGTTATGGCTGGATAGCGGCTTACAAGATTTTCACATGTAGTTAGTGAGGTGTTTGAGCACACACGCATCTCCATCAAAAATACATCTTCCATCACACGTGACATTGGGGCGCAATGGCAACCACTTTCCCACCACCTTGTTCAGACCTACAGTAGTGTAAAAATCAATGCCTTTCAATGTGGGATCAGGTGCAGGAGCTACTTTCAGCTTCTTTGAATCAAGTTTCCCACCATGCTGGTCACTGGCAGAAGCAAGGCTGGAATCATGAGCCTGAGGGAGAGAATTTGCTTTTATTTTAAATTATTGTCTTCTCCACCAGGAATTTGGGAACACTACAGCCACCACAGAAGAAAGGTAGAAGAAAGACCCCAACGCTTGAATCCATGCCCTCACCCATCTGCTCAACACGTCGGCCCGTTCCCCTCCTGACTCACCAGCTGATGGAAGGAGACCTGCGGTCCCTCGGCGTCGTACAAGAACCACCAGGTTGCTGCGCCCACCGTGGCCAGGCCGACGTACACTGCGGCCGAGAGAGACACCCTTACCCCCAGCACCTGGCAAGGAGGCCCCTACCCCGTGGTACCCCCTGCCTGTCCTCATCCTCTACCCACCGGTGCCCGTGGGGGCTCACCTCCGATGGCCAGGTAGCGGAAGAAGAGCCAGCCGCTGATGAGGGGCTCCTTGGGGTTGCGGGGCAGCTTGTCCATAATGTCCAGGTCGGGGGGGTTGAAGCCCAGTGCAGTGGCCGGCAGCCCATCTGTCACCAGGTTCACCCACAGCAGCTGCACGGGGATGAGGGCCTCGGGCAAGCCCAGGATGGCCGTCAGGAAGATGCTGCAGGGAAAAAAACAGAGATGCCAAATTAGATGAGCTCCAGGGCAGCCAAAGTGTCTGTGTTGTGCAAGGGGAGAGCGAGCAGGAACCCTGGATCCAAATACCCCAAACTGAATATTCACCCAAAGTCCTGCAGATGAACCTGCAACCCCCGAGTCAGGAGCCTGAAGTCCAGGACTGAATTTTGCAGCTAAAATTTGTTCCTGTAGCTATTAAAATTTGCTTTGCAGTCGAAACCCAACCACTGACGGCCATACAGGTTCCCTTTCCCAGCACAAATACCCCTGCTGAAATGCAAGGGCAAAGGATGCCCAGGTGATCCCAAGGCTGCACCCATGTGGCTGAGGACAGCACTGAGTTACTGGGAGGGACGGGCAGGGGACCGGGAGAGCTGCCCGGGACCTGATGCAAAGTGCATCAGTGCGACCTGGTGACAACAGCCTGTCCACAAATATCCACACCCACCTTAGACGCTGGCATGGGCTTAAATAGGCAATGCATTAACAAAACAGCTCCTGGGGGTGGTGTGTTTATAAAACTGCAAACGGAACATCCCCCTATCCCTGGGGGACAACGCAGAGCTGCTCGGTTTGGTACCCGGGGTTACAATTTTGGGCACCACATGCTGCCAGGGGCAGGGAACATGACCAGGTCACCTGCCCCAGGGGACGCATCCCCACCACTGCTCCCCTCAACGTGGTCCCCAGTGGGGGGGGCTCTCACCAAACGACCTCCCCGACGTTGGAGGAGATGAGATAGCGGATGAACTGCTTCATGTTGTTGTAAATGGCCCTGCCCTCCTCAACGGCCGACACGATGGTGGAGAAGTTGTCATCGGAGAGCACCATCCC